AACAGAATATTTTCTATTTGATTCTGGAGACACCCACTAGAGTTTATGGGGGAGGGGCTAGCATGATATGATCAGACCCACATTTTAGGAAAATTACTTTGGTGGATGAATGGAGTATGAATTACAGTGGGAAGAGACTTGAGCAAGCAGACCCATTAGCAGACTATTGCAATAATGGAGATATGAGATGATGAGGGCCTGCACACTACAGAGCAGTGGAAGTGTTCGAAGAGCATATCCTAGAGATGTTGCAAGTTCTTGGCAATAGATTAGATATGATGTGTTGGGGGGTTGATGAGAGGTAATGAGGAGTCCAGAATGACTCCTAGGTTACAAGCCTGAGAGAGTGTAGTAACTTTGGAAAGAATAGTTGCTGTGATTGGAAGCTAGATTGTAACTGGTTACTACTAGAGCAGGGGTGGGGAACCTGCAGTCTCAAGGCCACATGTGGCTTTCTAAGTCCTCAAGTGCAGCCCTTTGACTGAATCCAAACTTCGTAGAACAAATCCCCTTAATAAAAGGTTTTGTTCTGTAAAGGCAAAGTTCTTAGCTGAGAGAGTAGAAGGAGTGGAAGCCACTGGAAGTTTGAAGAGGGATGTCAAGTTTTGAAAGAGCCACACTGGAAATTTCAGGGATGCCCATCAATTGTGGAATGGATGAACAAATTATAATATATGATTGTGATGGGAATACTATTGTGCTATAAGAAGTGATAAGCTAAATGATCTTAGAAAAACATGCAAAGACTTGCATGAAATGATGAAGAGTGAAATGAGCGGAACCAAGAGAACATTGTATGCAGTTACAGCAATATTGTTTTAAGAATGGCTTTGAGTGAATAAGTCATTTTGACTATTATAAATACCCAAATTAGCTATAAAGGACATATGAAGAAAGATGCATCCAAAGAAAAAAAATGATAAATAGAAGTATGTATAAAATAATTATATATATATATATGTTTATATGTGTGTATGTGTATATATATATATATACATATATATATACACACACGCACACGCACACACACACACACACACACACACACACACACATATTTGTGTGTCTAATGGTAGCCATCTCTGAGGTAGGGAGGGAAGAGAAAAAAAGAGGGGGAAGGAAATTTACATGATAACTTTGTTGTGTGTTTAAAAGAAATAGCAAGTTGTACATAGTGAATTTGTGGTTTCATGTGCAATCGTCTTTTTTATTCTACTATGTTACGGAAATGCTCATTTTATTCCATGAATAAAAAATAAATAAATTTAAATTTACAAAAAAAAAAAAGAGTGACTGTGGAGAGTTAATAAGGAAGGTATTGTAGGATTGTCTGGCAGGGGTGAAGTCCCAGTTGAGGTTGTATAACATAAATTTGCAATCGACCCAGCCAAGAACAGTTGCATGATTTTCTCCAACTTCATTCAGTAGCACATGTGAAGGGAGCAAATGATTGCAGTGATCCAAGGCTGAGGATTGGTTGGGAGTAGTCAGTAATACGATAAGGAGGCTAAGGATTCAAGAGATGAGGGCGCTATAACATTTAATTGGTTCACAAAAGGTTCAAAATAGGGAGAAAAGAAGAGTGAGATAGTGTAAGGGAGATACCTTTGAAGAGAATTGTGGGATCAAGGGTTTGGAATCACAGTTTGGAGGAAGAGTAGGGTTAATGGAAGTCAGAGTGAGAGGTGAAAAGTCAACAGATGAGGATATTTCAGAATTCTTGAACATAAAGGTATTACATTTGGGGGTGATGACAAGATTAAGGGATGACCATTTTCATTTTTGTATGTGGCTAAGATGGGGTGGAGGTGTGTAGCTCATGATAAGTGATTAGGTTGAAGAACTGAGTAGTTGGGGTTTTCGTTGCAGAATCAATCTGGTGCTGAAGTCCCTAAGTATGAGACAAGAGTTGGGGAGGAGAAAAAAATTAATGAGCCAGATACCAAATACATCAAGGAAACAAGAGGGAATGACAGGGGTTCTGTAAACAGTGGCTACCAGGATTTTGATTGTGTGATAGATATGGGTGTTTATGACGGATACAGAGATAGAGCAGTTTTGGAAATAGTCTATATTGTCAGTATACTGGGAACAGTGAGGCAGAGATAGAAGAGGATGCTAACAAGATTCACTTGTATGTTCTTCTAGTAGGAAACAAGTGAATGGAAAGGAGAATGACACCATTAACACTTCTTCTGTTCTATTTACCTACAATTGGTGCCTCCAAATAGTGGGAATGGCACTGATATTAATAATAATACCAGGATTTGCATTTGCGTACTTTTGTTTAGCAAAGTGCTTGTCTTTAAGTGAGGGAGCTAAGTGCTTCTTTCATTCATTCATCCATTTTGTCCCATAAAAAAGAACACTAACGTATTATTTTTTACTAAGTAGCTGTTAAAACACTGTGGGGGCAAATTAATACCATGTAAATTTATTAAGTTGTTTTATTCTTTGTATTTGTGTTCCCAGTGCCTACCTCAGTGCCTGGCACCTAATGGTTATTTAATATACCTTGATTAATTATTAATCTGAAGTATATTCATGGTTTCAGTTTAATTTACTATATTTTTTCCCCCTTCTGTGTGTATATGTTGAGAGAGGAGGGAAAGGTAGCCCCAATCCTCACTTATATCTCCATCATTATCTCATACACATACACACACACACACACACACACACACACACACACACACACACACTCACAAATACTGCTTATTCCCTTATCTTCTTTAAGTCTATTGCCTGGGCCCATAAACAGATGAAAGGAGAACCCTGAAATTGAAAATCACATTTAAGGCTGGTATCATATTTTAAGTATTCCCACTTCCTGAGATGGTTATATCTAGGCTCTCATACCTCAGAGTGTACATGCGTTCTTAACCTATTCTTTGCGTCATGGACCCATTGGAACTCTTGTGAAGCCCATAGATACCTTCTTATTTTTTTTTAAATTTCACAAATGAAGGAATGCTAAACTAGCTGTGAAAATAAAGACACAATTCTTTTCACCATCCAAGCTTATGCTATCACCCAGATTCCTAAGTTCACCCCATGAAATCTACATACCTTTTTTGATTCCATGCATCCTATGTTAAGAAGCCCAGTGTTAGGGTGAAAAAGTAGTGTTTCAGACACACATTTTATTATACTTGGCTGTTTTTCAGTTGATATCAGTGCTCCCAATATCTTATAAAAATGTTAATAGTCTGTGTGAATTATAAATACACTAATTTGACAACCAGTTAGCAATAGCTTTCTTAAATTCTTTTCACCAAGCTGTTTTTTCTTCCCTCTCCCATCTATCCTTCACAAAGCTGTCTGACTACCTTGCTAGGAGACAGAATGGCTAAAGTACTGATTACTCTTGGAGACAAGAAGATCTGAATTAGAATATTGCCTCATAGGCTTCAGAACTATATGACCTGAGACAAATCATTTCATCCCTTTCAGCCTCAGTTTCCTAATCTGTAAAATGTGAATAATAATAGCACCTACCTCATAAAGTTATGAGGCTCTGCTGAAGTAATATGTGTAAAGTCCCTTGCAAAGCTTCAAATAGTATATAAATGCTAGCTACAACTCTTATTATTGTTACATGTTTGTCTACTGCTCAAAAATTTCAGTGGCTCCTACATGGTAATTAAAGTCATGCCAAGTGTGACTCCCATCTACTTTTTTCTAACTTCATTTCATCTCACTTCACTTCATTTTATATTCTAGGAAATGTAGTACCAGCTATTCCCCGTACTTGACACTCTATCTCTTATTGCCACACATTTTGTATATGACATCCCTCGTGTTGGCATATTTTAGATGTTTTGGCCATATTGTAACATGAATATATCCAAACCTTACGAGGAGCATTTTGTATGCCTAATAAAAATTAACAATAGAATGTAAGCACCTTGAGGGAAGGAACTGTTTTGTATTAACTTTATTTCTCCTGAAGTTTGTATAGTATCTTGTACATAAGCAAATAAAAATTGCTTCATGAATAAATTATAAATATTATTTACTTATTTTATAAATATCTTATTTTTTCAAATTCTTTTCTTCTTTCACCTGTCTTCTTTCTGAGATACTTTCTCATAAACGGAAAGAGAAAGGACAAGATAAAGAAAAAAAGCTTTGTAATGAAAATAGAGTAAAAACCTGGATAAAAAAAATTTATAATTTCACATGCACTAACATGAATAATGTAGTCACTAGTTCAAAGTTTAAAAGTGCAAGTGGAAAATTTCCGTACACATATTTTGTGAATGCTGGTTTTAGGAAATCAGAGGTAATATTGTTTAAAAAAACAGTTCCTCTAGCACTTGGCATTGTACCTAGGCTTATACTAGGTGCTTAATTAATGTTGATTGATTAAGTGAAATATGAGGCATCAGCATGTAACTAAATGTTACTGGCATATAAGACATAAGAAAGATAGTATGGGGAAAAATACAAGTTTTGAATATGAAGGGATTGGATTTAATGATCCATTCCTACTCTAAATCTACGATCCTATGATTCTTCATGGAAATCTATAAAATCTAAAAAAATAAAAATAATTCACATGTCTGTAAAGGTAGACTGGTTTGTTTCAGCATGTTCTCAAAACATCACATATTCTCAAAACATCACTGAACTCTTTTTGCTTCACTGTTTTGATATACCTAAAAGAGTCCAAAATGAATATTATCTTTCTCATGTGGTCTCTAAATTCTAAGTAATTTTCTTTAAAGACTTCAACTGTCTCTTTAACAATCTGTCATATATTTCATAGTGATGCACCTTGCTGGGATATTGCAAGGGTTAGTGAGGTAAATCCAATAAAAATGTTGAGTTATTTGGCAAAAGATGTTATTTGAACAGATAACTTTTAACCATTTTTCTAGAGTTTTGAGAAGCCTTAGACATATTTTCTGTGGGTCAGAGAATTTTACTTTTCCTATTGGAAAGTTAGTAATTCTTCCCCAGTGTGTCTTTTATTCATTTTTGTTTGTTTGTTTTAGGTGTAACACTAGAATCAGATTCCTGCCTTGATCCAGGGATCCCTGTGAATGGTCATCGACATGGCAATAATTTTGGCATCAGGTCTACAGTGACTTTCAGTTGTGATCCAGGATATACATTAAGTGATGAGGAGCCACTTGTATGTGAAAGGAACCATCAGTGGAATCATGCATTGCCAAGCTGTGATGGTAGGTAAAGCCTGACCAAAAAAAAAAAAAGGATGGTATATAGAGAGAAAATAATTTAATCAACAAAAGTTTCTGAAAGAATAGGGAAAGGTGCTATGATAACTCTCATTTGAGGAAACTCCTTCTACTGATACAGGTTAGCACTTTTTCTTTTTTGCAGTCAGAGAGGTAGTCAGACCACTGAGGAGTTATATGGCTTGTCCAGAGTCATACAGCCAGTATGTTTTAGAGGCAGAACTTAACCCAGCTGGTCATGACTTCACATCGCATTCTCTATCCTCTGTGCCATGACATATGTAGAGGCATTAATTTATTTAGCATCTAAACAGAAAGTCTTGCTTTACCTATCAACCTGCCCTATGTTTTCCCATTAATAGTTACTCACATGTGAATAACTGAAATTCTCTATGGCACAATTTTCTCCAGTAGGCATAAGAATCCTAGGAAAGAATGCAAGGTACAGTGAATTTTGAGTTGGAAGACTTGGCTTAGATTCCTAGATTCCCTACTTGTGTGACACTGGGCAAGTGATTTCCTTTCTTTGAGTGTCAGTTTCCTCATCTGACAAATGACAGAATTAGGCCAAATGGTTTCTAAGATCCTTTAGCTCTATTAGTATTCAACATAAAATAGTATGTATTTGGGCAAGCCTCACTTTATAACATTTAGCTTACAGTGATTCACATTGAAAGTTCCCAGTCAGTTCCATCCATATTATTATTTCCAAAACCTAGAGCACTTAGCCTACAAACTGTCTGACATATTTCAACTTATGTAGCCCTGCCCTCCCTACTTCATGGTTAGCATGACCTCTATTAGCTTGCACAAATCTGTTCCCAACATCCCTCTAGTTCGCAGTCCCTCTCATAGGGTAAGGGATTTCTTTACCTATTTTTTTCATGACCCCCAGAGCTTGTCTTCCTCCCTTGCACACCTTTTTAAGTAAATAAAAGCAAATTAAATGTTATGTCATGTTGTGGCTATTTTCTGTGCTATTTCTGCTTTATCTGCATATATTTTTTAATGCATGATTATATCAGTTATAGCTAATTAAGCATGGTATTCACATTTAAAAGTTGGGAATTATACATAATTGGGCATCATTGGGTATCTGAGGGCTTGATGGAAACGGAAAACAGTTGGAAAATTATGAACAGACATTACATGTCCTCAAAAATTTTCCAATGAACATCCTTTCCCTCTCTTGGGTTTATCATTACTTGGATCCAAGTATCCTCCAAACAAGATTTTAGTTGAGGGATGATGGAGGAAATAACTAGGACCAAAAAAGAGAGACATAAAGGGAAAGGGTTATGCAAGGAAAGAAAATAGGCATATCTTAAGTGCTTACTGTGTCAGGCACTATGCTAGGTACAAATGCAATAAAAAAGATAGCCATTGCTTTCAAGTAAGGGACAGGGGATGAGAGAAACTGAGTCAAAAACAGAGACAGAGAACTTTTTAAAAGTAAGTCTTAGTTGTTTATCGACTAAATGTCAAATGGGTACATTATTCTGGACTAAGTGATGACCATGTGAATGTAATATGAGGTATCATAATATAATATCCAGTCCTTACACTGGATCTTTGATTTTGTTAGTCTTGAGAGCTCTAGGCTGAGGAAACACCAACAAAAGCAGCTTGCAATTTAAGTGTTGGTTGCCTATATCACCAAAAGATTAAGTGACTTCCTTGCCCCAGGATGCACAGCCAGTGAGTGCATATTAGAGGTAGACCTTGAATCCAGGTCTTCTTGGCTTTGAAAATATCTTTCTTTCAATACATCTTGCTGTGCCATGTAGTATGATGATGATATTTTGATTCCTCAGAGTTGAGATTTCATCACCTAAAACTTTAATGTAAGATATATTTGGCATTTGGGTTGACTATCTCTTCATAAATTGCCTAGACGTGCTAGGGACAAGATTTTAAGACTACATTTCTCTTAGTGTAAAGAAAAAAAAATCAAAATCACCGTCTGAATAATAAAAACAGAATTAACAAGTACTCACTTGTGCTACAAATCATTTTATATCCCTGGGCCACAGATTACTCAAAGGTAAAGTAAGGAGACTGGGCCAAATGATCTGTAAGGTCACTTGCAGCTCGACATCTATATTGCCATATACTATTGCAAGGACTCAAATTTTCAAAAGCCAAGCACAGCAGTGCTCCCCAATTGGCTTTTGTAGTACACATGGACAGTGTTTATTGAAACCATATGTAATAGAAATCTAAGTTCTTATTTACAAAACTATAGAAACATAAATAAAAGTGATCTAGGTAATAAAAAAATACCCATTAGTATTAACCACTGAAAGACTTTGCCACCATAAAGAGCTATGAATTCTCTTTTAAGGTTGTATTCAGTAATGTTATCAAGCTTGATGCTCTTCACTGACAATGGCAAAATTAAGGAACAAAGTTGGAGGAGTCTTCGCAAACACTCCATGTTTTTCATTTGATTGATCAATGAAAGTTCCATTTGGATTTCTATTTTCCCTCTCTCTTTGTTCATCCATTATCTCTCTTCTCTCTGTCAACAATCCACCTTTTTTTCCTATCATTCATATAAAACCTTGATATCTTTCCCTCAGCTTGTTGCATACAACTAATGCATGATTTATAAAGTACTATTATATTATCACCCAATATCTTTCTCTTGAATTCTGAAAAATTTGTCTTTGTTTGAGATAGTCTTTTCATATCATTTGCAACCACATTATGTCATTAGAAAAAAAAAGTCATAGGATGACAAAAATTTCATATTTCTCCACAAACTAAGAGAAGTTGAAGAACATATGAAAAGATGAAATATATATAATACCATACAAACTTTGAAGAAATATGGAGTTAATTTTAGGGGGCATAGAGGAATTGATTTTTCAATTTCTCTAAAGGGCTAAAACTTAAAATTAAAAATAAAATAAAATAACCCCTAAGACTGGGTCTGGAAAAGACCCAGACATATAAACTGTGAAGAATATATACTATCATTAATTCAATTCTACAAATATTATTTGAGGTATTCATTTGGATATTTTTTCCATTCCAGGACAAACTCTAAGTTATTTGAAAACATCAACATCTACAACTTTAAAATCCTACCTGCTGCAGATATTGGTAGACACAATAACCAAATGACTCACTGAATTTTTAACTTTCCTTTTGGGTATATAGGGGATGATAGAGAAAGGAGCACATCATGGTTAAGTAACTTCTTGATCTATGTGGTGATGAATAAATGCTATTGACGTTTTATCAACCAATCAATCAAGAAACAATTATTAACATCCTACTATATTCCAAATACTGTGCTAGGCCCTGAGGGTGCAAATTTAAAAAATGAAATAATCTCTACCCTTAAAGGGCTTGCATTCCATTGGAAAACAACATTAACACTTAAGTGCAAATTTAAAATATTTATATATATGTAAAAATATACCAAGGGGGAAAATGTGTTGTGAGAAATGAATTTAGTCAGGAAGACCTGGGTTTGTGTTCCCCCTTTGACAAATGCTGGCTATGAGATGCTGGGGAAGTTACTTTACCTCTCAGTGCTTCAGGTAGTTCTTTAAGATTAAGAATTATCCTTTTGGAGAATTTATTGTACCAATAAATTTCATTTCTGATCAAAAAAAATTTAAGGGGAAAAAATAAATAAACAAATCTGTATCTCCCTTCATGTCAAATGATTAATGCATCAAAACTAGAAGGTTGCACATGTTAATAACTTGTGGGCTTCTCTCCCTTTATTTAGGTGAAATTTAACTTCATTGTACTTTATCACAAGACTAAATCTCAAAACTTTGCAATAAATGAACTTGTTTACATGACATGTTTCCTCTAAACGTTGGCCACCTATGAAATAATTCTGCTTTTCTTTATTATTTTGAAGTTTACATGGAGTATTTCTTACTCCTGAAACAACCAAAAATAGGAACAGCCTTTTAATAGCTGTGAGGAAATAACAAGTCTTCCTCTCCAGGCGTGAATATATTATAAAGATTGCTACTTTGAGACATTCAGTTCTCTCCCCTTTTTCACCATCTTGTTGGGAATGTGAAGATAAAATGCCTGCTGAAGTGTAGAGTTATGGTTATTTTGATCTTAGACTTTTCCTGAAGAGTTGTGAAGAAGGAAAGCTCAAGTTATTCTGGTGATTTTGAGGACGTGCTAACGAAAAAAAAAAGTACTATTTCTCTCAACTTGGAAAGCATCTGAGAGTCATCACATTATCTCACCATCTGATATATTTTTATAAAGTCCTGAAAAAGGAAATGATATAATGCTATCCTAACGCTCTGATTTGGAATAAGCCCACCCTAATCTGTATGTATGCTTATATAATGCCTTTGTGGTCCTGTCAAGCAAGGTTCACTATTAAATATTCTATGTCAGCCCTCTCTTTGTCTTTCTACGTGGTACTGTGGAAATTCTTTTGCATTTTGAGCTAGAGGTCTTAGGTTAAAATCTTGACTCTGCCACTATTACCTCTGTGACCTTAGTCAAACAAATTAATTCTCTTGGCATTAGTTTCTTCAGCTATAAAATGAGAGATTTGGGCTAGTTGGCCTAAAAAGTCCTTTCTAGCTCAAACTCTATGATCTATGATCTATGGATGCTTGCTGGCCTTACAGTCAGGGCCCTCATGATTAGGAATGAATTATTTACCATTTCATGTATGGTACATTACTATTATCTCTCTAGATAGATTCCTATAGGTAAATAGGACATTTTGTTTCTTTAAATATGATGACAGCCATCATAGCCCTAGACACATATTGTGTTTCATATTTTTGATTGACTAACTAATGTTAACTTTTAAGAATTTGTCAAAGAGTTGACTACAAACAAACAATTCAATAATGGCCAACCAAGACTTCCTTGACATCCAAATCAAGAGGCAGCATATTGTACTAGAGTACTAGACTTGACATCAGAAAGACCTGGTATCAAATCTTGACACTTATTAGGTATGTGACACTAAGCAAGTAATT